TTATCTAGTTTTTTGACTTGTGTAGAATATAAACCACATTACATCATATTTACGCAAAGATCCTGAAAATTCAAAATGAGTCACAAACTTAGAAGCATCACTTACAGCTTTATAGATAATGACCAACATCTTTACCAGAAATATACTGGTAGCTAATGGAGCATCCACAGTATAGGTAATATACTGTTCCGTAGCATATGGACCAGTGCATGAAATTTTCAAGTTGTCTTCAGGGCTGGTGTCAGATGAAGAGTATTGGAGTGGAGTTTATAGAAAAAGAAAAACTTTGATCTACAACTAATCTTTCAGAGGGGAAGTTACAGGAAGGATTTAAACATATTGAATTGCAATTCTGACTGGTGGCCAATTGACTCCTGAAAGACAGAATTGTTATAAAACATTGATTTTACTCAAACCTTGACAACTGAAAATACAGTGGATTATAAAAATTATATATAAAGACAAGAACTATACAAAATTAGACTGTTTGGATTTTGAGTTTTGGCCAGCTTGACAAGGCTAACTACAGAGACTATGGCACTTATGACAGATTACTTGAAAGGGGGAGACAACATGATAGAAAACCACACTTAATATCTACTCCTGAAGGACTCAGCCTGAAAGATCAAAGACTCTAGAAGCAACATTTCAAGACAAGGCAAATACTTTCCAAGAAGAAATTTATGCAATGCTACGACAGATAATCTCCATGAGGAGATTAAGCATAACTTTGATAACATAAATGAATATACTTCTAATTTAAATTTACAATAAAAAACATTCAAAGAATGATGGTAAAGAATGAACAAACAAATCAGATAACAGAATGTTAACTAGAAAAAAATGACTTAATTGGCGAAGTCATAAATGAAGGGAATCATAACTTAATACAAACAAGAAAAAACTCACAACATTTGGATACAACAATAAATATGGAAAAGATATCTTATGGATTAGAACGTCAAAATAAACCGGAGAAGAAAGAAGACTTAACAAAATGGACACTGCTAGGAGAATCACTGTTTGGGAGACAAAAAGCATACATCTTACGTATTATGTATCCTCTATGCCTAACAACAACTACAAAAATACAAGAACTGTTTGACAAGTCGAAAATATTAATTTGGAAAACAATTTGGCAAAGGAAGAAGATTAGAGACAGGCTTAAGAGACTTGACTTGCCCTACCAGATGGAATATTATACGAGCAAACACTTGTCTGAGTATAACTAAAAAAACATATAACTTTGGCTATAAAGGGGCTTTAGAATAAGTGGAATAAGAGATATAAGTAATATGGTATTTTTTGATAAGATTCAAAATGTAAAAATATTGGGATGATGAAAGTGAAGGAAAAGTTTGAACTGTAAAGATAAATTAAGTTTGAAAAGATTTAGGATTAAGGAATGATTGAAATATTGAGGGGAAATTAGGCTTTATAAGAACTTTTAAAAAAGGATATATAGTGATTCAATCAATTTTTACAAACAGAAGTGAAATATAAATTGATTAGAAAAGATGTTATAAGTAGATGTTATGATAGATAAGTAGTATAGTATCTATAATATATGAAATATGAAAATACTGGGATGATATATTTAAGTGAAAAATTTGGATATTTAGATGTTAATTACTGAGAAAATTATGATTGATAAGAATTGTTTGAATATTACGGAGAAATTGATCTTAGATTTACAAAAATAAGATATATGGTGAATCAGTAAGATGACTTTTACGAAAATAACATAAGTTGATAAGAAAAAAAATGCTATATGTGGACGCTATTATTGTTGGTATAAATATAGAAGAAAATGTTTTTATTTAAACATTTATATATGGAAAATATCAAATATCAAAAATTATATTTAATGCTGAAGAAGAATACTATTGGGAGAAGAGAGGCTCAAGGAAATATATTATCAGTTGATATACTAATTAAGAAAATATATAAATGAATTATTATTGTTAATTAACTATTATTGATTGTAAAAAAAATTCATGAACCAAGCCAACACGCTGTACTAAAGTTATTATTGTAAAAAATCAATAAAAGTCTTACAAAAAAAAAGAGTGTTGCAGTGGTGGGATTCAGCCGGTTTGTACCAGTTCGGTAGAACCGGTAGCTAATTTTTTGTTGACGTCGATGAATCAGCTGATGCTCTGGCCTAGCCCTTTTTCGCAAGGCCCAGAACAGACCGCCGGAAGTGCACGGATGCCACTTCTGGAAGTCCATTCTGAGCTGGGGAAGCCTCCCAGACCCAGTGTGTGGACGCCATTCCGAAAGTCCATTATGAGCCAGCGAGGCCTCCCAGGCATAGAATGGCCCACTGGAAGTGCTGTCCACGCAGAGAACTGGTTGTTCGGGTATTTGAATCCCACCACTGAAGTGTTGCCCTGGTTTAATTGACAAATAAAGAATATGTGTGTTATGGTCTAGAGTCTCCATATATATTTGGGGCCACAACTGGCTTCTAGATTAAAAGCAAGTGAGACTTGCTGGGATTCACCTTGGCTCACTCTATCCAGACCCTTACAAACAATAGAGCATCAACTGCATCTCCTGTTCAGTTCATAGTTATAATCTACAATTACATGTCATCCATATATTGATGCTGTTTCATCTGAACCAACAATCTACTGTATTCCAGGGGTACCATTTATATATATTACATAAAATGGGGAAAAGAACAGGATACCCAATGGCAGTCACCAGGGATATGATATTCTGCCCTGGCTAATATTATTTTGAATTACCCACTCTGTAAGAAGTAACACTGTAATCCAATATCTTCAATTCCTAACTCTCTTAAACAGTTTAGAAGGATACCATAGTTGTGCATGAGAGCAATTACCATAGTTGTGCATGAGAGCAATCAATATAGCTTCAGTTCCATATCCAGACCTGGCACTTATTAACAGCAAATTGAGACCTAACAAGACTACCAGAGAAGTCGATCTTAAATTATAGTGGAGAGATCAGCACCACAAACTGCAGCCTTTTTCCCTATCTAATCTCCTCTTCCATTTTTACAATGCAACTTTTTTTTATCAAAAGTAAATATTACACCAGTTAATATATGACTACTTAAACACACACAACCAGATCCCAAATATAGACAAAGTCTATCCCATAATAACATAATGCCACCTAATATCTTATTTTACTCCAGATATCCTCCAGATATATTCTGGCAGTTCCAGCTGCCATTGTTAATTGAATTCCACATGGTTGCAGCATCCGTCAATCATGTTATCGCCATTTGTGACCTCCTGCCAGCTTCCCCAATGTCTTTGCTTGTTAAGCCAGCAGTGAAGGTTACAAATTGTGATCATGAGACTGTGTAGGACTGCAACAGCCAAAATTATGAGGACCCATAATAAGTACTCCTCATTCAGCACCATTTTAACATTAACAGCTGCCGAATAAATGGATGCTAAGTGACATTTACCTGTATGTCATACATATCTGCAAGGAGGATGTAATATGTATAAAACAAAATAAAATGCCTCAAATGCAACTGAATATATGACAATTAAATAGCATGCAATATCTTGCGGAATTCCATGGCTCCTATACCTGCTTGTGAAATTCCACAGCTCCTATTCAATTGAATAGGAGGATAATGTGTGAGGATAACGGATTAGTAAACTTTCAGTCAAAGGGTAAGAAAAGAAAATAGTACTTTAACACAGAACCTTTTAGTGCTTTGCAAACATAATGACTCGGCTGATAATTCAGGAAGTTGGCAAAGTAAGCAGTCCAAGTCAAGTTTAAAGTATGCCAAGTTTCAAAGGAGATGGTCATTCAGTGTTCCCTCCCTTTTTAAAAAAACTTGATAAGTATTGTGTTCCACAGGAATTTTAAAAGCTTCCTTAAACTAAGCTAAAGCATTGACTTATATTGCTCATTATTATCCATAATCAACTGGCAATGCTTCCATCAATTCAAACTGAGTATTTCCCAATCCTCCCAGGAGATCACTGAGGAACTAAATTATGACACTTGTTGCACTAAGATTCATGTCTACCAAGAAGCTATCATTCCTCTTCTTTTTAGAAAAATATGCTTTTATAAAATGTCCTATCATGAGGGAGGGAGGGAGGGGGAGAGAGAGAGAGAGAGAGAGAGAGAGAGAGAATAATCACTTCATGGTCAGAAATGTTAAACTTTGAACCTTGCACCCTTTTACCCAACAAATTCATTGTGAGATACAAAAAGATTGTAAAGAAAGGTAGCAGTTTGCTTTTTCCACTAACCCATTTCCAGAATAAATAAAGGACTCTGGACATCATTCACTGGATTTACACTTCACACTAAGCCATAGTTTCTTTAACCAAGGTTTACTGAAACCACCATAAAATAAGTTTCCAACCAATTCTGAGTAGATTCAAAAAATGCACTAAATCCAAACAATACCAAAGATACATGACAACTGGCAGTTGTTACCACAGCATTATAATGCTGTACTGATAAGCTTTTTAATCCATTCAGAAATCCATCCCTTTCTTGTTCAAACAGGAACTGGTAAAACTTATTTACAGAATAAAGGAAAAATCCAAAGACCTCCACGTTTCCTTCTGACAGTGTCCAAGCTATATCAGTGCTGTGGCATGGACGGAATAACTGTAACTGAGACCCATGAGACACAACAGCGATATTCAGTTACCTACGCTGTGCGTACGATATTGCGCTATGGAGAAAATTAAATGCAGATATAAAAGCAGCTCTGTGGAATCAAGATAGATTCATTAAGCCCCTCCAGAAGATTTATTCAATAAACAGGGCATTCTGGCACACACACACGCATCCCAACCCAGAGTGGCGACATGGAGAGCTCTCCGCCTGGGTTGAAGTCTTGATCTCAAATGCAGCGGCACTCGGTTTCGCCTGGCATGCGCCCCCTCCTTCGGCTAACCAGGCAGCGCGGGCAGAGTTCTCCGGCGAAGTTCCGTCTCGCCTGCCAGCGCCGCCGGCATGGCACTCTCGCCTCCTCGGCTTACCTGTCGCCGGATTCAAAAGCGCTCTCCGGTGCCTTCTGGCGACCTCTTTCCGCTCCTCCTCGTCTTCTTCTAAACGCCAGGCTTCAGCCATCGGCGCCAGGGACAAAGGCGGCCTTCAGGCAGCGGCGTCCACCATTGCGGTTAGGCAGACTCTGGGCTCCCCTTTGTCCAGACCTGCACCTGACGCTACCGCCGGAGTGGGCGGGGAGTCCCAGTTTCGACGCGGCCCCTTTGCTTTCTCCTCCCTCCCTCCCTTCCGTCTCGCCTAGCTGCAGTCCAGGCCTTTTACGGTTCCGTCCCGAACGAGCTCCGGGACTTTAAGGAAACGAGGGACGACTCCAGCTACGGAAGGCAGATAAAGGGACAAGTGAGCGAAGGTGGCGTTTCCCTGCCCGTTCCAGTATCAACAGGAAGCGAGACTCTCGCCTGATAGTAAAACAAAAGCGGGGGGGGGGGGACGGTAGTGTGGAGCAGCAAGGAACAATCGCAGCTCAGGAATGCGAGGGGACGAAGCGACCTCCGCCTGCGGTGGGAAGCGAAAGGGCGGAGTACCATCAGACGCTTGGCTCAAGGAGGGGGTGGGCGCAGCGAGCGAGAGATGCTTTCTGTAAGCCCAAGACCATTCCTTGGACTCCAGGACTTGCTTTTCCTTTCGCTGGAGCTCTGCCAGGGGCATTTTCTCACACTTTCGAGATTTTGCAACGCAAGCAGCGACGCGTGACGCAGATTTACTTGAGAAGCCAGTGCACCCCTTTGCGTTTTGCATTGCATAGTTGAACAAAGATAAGGCAGACAGGGAGGTTTGTCATTATTAAAAAAAAAAACCTTGTGCTTCAGGCCTGCTGTATTATACCCATCTTCGCTAACCCCATATCCCATGGATGTGATGGGCAGTGGCAAAAGACAGTGGCAAAACCCACTGATAAGAGATACATGAATGCAAGGGTCAAGTTATCCACTGTGTTTAAAAATACTGATTATTAAAAACGGGTGGGGCTTGTCTCCACATTATGTTTATAATACAGGGGGAAAAATTCCATAGCAAAATTATAGAGTAGTTTATCATGAATCAAAAAACAATATGCAGTTCTATCAGCAATAATGGAACCTTTAGTTTTAATATGAAAAGACTGCCAGGGAAGAGCAGACTAATGTAGTAAATTACTATCATGTCATATAAAATAAGAAATGAAAACTAAGCATAGTTTAGAATAGAATAGAGCTGGAAGGGACCTTGGAGGTCTTCTAGTCCAGCCCCCCACTCAAGCAGGAGAACCTATACCATCTCAGACAAGTGACTATCTAGCCTCTTCTAAAAAATCTCCAGTGATGGAACACCCATGATTTTTGGAGGCAAGCTGTTCCACTAGTTAATTGTCTTCACTGTCAGGAAGTTTCTCCTTAGTTCTCTCCTGCAAATCACAATTTACTTAATAAAAGGAAATGCCAGAAAGATTTCAAACTATGTTGTGCACAATTAAAAAAAATAAATTCTGTCAACCAAAGTTGTTATTAATAGTTTATAGCCAGTTTATAACAAAGATTTATAACCAGTCATATGAAAGATGATCTGATTATAATATAATTATGATTCTGTGCTTTGTAATTAATGCTATTCTTTAGTATAAAGTAATTTTGTATTTAAAAATGAATACAGTTATATGGACCTCACTTTTCCAAGGACTGAGAACCTGGAAGGACACATCAATTACCCTGACCTGACCTTTCAGTTAGTAGAAAGTTATCGGTGTCTTACTGGCACTCTCAACTTCGTATGTTCTGCTTGAACACAGATGGAGATATCTAGTATGCCCTTTCCACACCCAATTTTTTTATGGAAACAAACCTTTTTATAGATTCCGTAAATCTAGGTGTGCATAGAAGAGCTGATATGTTGTGCTAAGCTATAATTTGCTTAGCCACTGATGAGCAAACCACAGTTGGCTAGTTTCACAGTACTAAGCACAAACCAAATAGACTTCATGTCTGCATAATGCAAAAAATATATTCAAAAATAGTATGTTCACTCTTTCCAAAGAGATGGGAAGATAAAACCTGTCTATTGTGGCTTCTACTTTGACTGATCACTGCATATATTTTTTTCTTTCAGGAAAAAAAAGAAGCTGCAAACAATGATGCCCGGTATATTAATCAAGATGGCTACTGTCTTACAAACTGGTATGCGTGATCACCTGTTGCCACTGAAACACTGGCTGATTAACTAATATATAGTTTCTATCAGGCAATTGTTGTACAAATTGCAAACTGTGCCACAAAGTTACCAGAAGAGTATTTCCTACATTTTTCATCTGCGATAAGAGTTGTAAACCGATATTTGCCTCTGCTCAGATAAGCAGCATGAGAATCCTGATACATTCATTATACCTTCTGTTCTCGAGATCAATATTTCTATACTTGAAAAACGTTCTGGAAGAATATTAAGATTCCTACTTTTAGGAAAGCATCACAAGAAAGAGATTAGTTGCATCACACATTGTATTAATCTCTGAATAACTATAGTGAATAAGATGCAACTGATGTATGAATTCAACCAAATCAATTTCAACGCATTGTGGCTAAGTAAATCATGACTTATGTAGAGTGAACCCAGTCAAGGGTAGTTTAACAAAGCATAGTTTAAAAATATTGGCTTAATGCAGTATGAGAATGCAGTATGTAATTCTACCTTTGGTAGCAAATATCAATTGACTGAATTTATATCCTATCTTTTATCAGGAGTTCAGGATAATGAATGTACACTCCTCCCTCAAGTTGCCTGTAACAGCAATTTTATGGCAGATTGGCCTGAGAGAGAGCATAATTCATCCAAAGTCACCATGGGTGAATGTGGACTCTGTAGTCCTAATCCAATATGTTATCCAATGTACTATACTGCCTTTCTTAAATTATAAAAGAGGCAACAGATTTACTCATCTGCACTAAATAACATTTAAAGCTAATTAGAAAAAGCACAGGAAATGCATCACATTAGTGTCATTATTATACACAGTTTTATGTAAGAGTTATCAAGCCCAAGAAACTACGATAGGTTAAGCAAATATGTGGACAAGCTTTGCTTACATTCCCAAAATAATACTAAGAAATCTAAACTTAAGCCTAATAGATACAAATATTGAAAGAATCTGGAATTACAGAAAGATTACATTTTTAGAAACAAGATTCAAAGGAAAAAAACTGACTTAATGCAGTTTTGTGCAGAGGGCTGCATATGACAAGCCCAAACAGGTAATACAAAATAATACTTTGGGGCATAATCCTATATAGAAACTTGCTTTAGGGAAAACAGGATTTACCCAAAGACCTCCATACCAGCTAAACACTTCCTGCTATGACTAAACAACTTCACATATTATTGCAATGGTATGCAGAAGAGTAACTAAAATGGTGGAATATGGTGGAATATGTCAATGCAGAGAACAAATACACAATGACCTGGTTTAAATAATACACTAAATCAGTGGTTCTCAACCTTTCTAATGCCGTGACCCCATAATATAGTTCCCCATGTTGTGGTGACCCCCAACCACTTATACATCACCGGGTGCCAGGGGCGTGGCCAAAGAAAAGGGGAAAAAATGGCGGACAGCCTTGTTTGGCGACCCCCGTGAAATGGTCGTTCGACCCCAAATGGGGTCCCGACCCACAGGTTGAGAACCACTGCACTAAATCATGTTATGCTTAGAATAAAAGAATTATCTTCCACTGATTGTAACAGGAAGAGGATTTTAAAATAGTTACATATCTGATTTGTATCTAGTCACTATTTCTAGTACACCAAAGCAACTTGAAGGCTATCAATCTTCTTTTCTGATAATCTTGCAACACTGAAATAAAGAAACATATAACTGCTCCATCCCAATATGTCTTAAGTCCTAGAGTAGCAACAAGTAATTTACCCTGAACTCCATGCATAAGGTTAAAAAAGGAGTCCCTGCAGATTTTACTCTGCTAGTCATTGCCAATTGTAGGGGGTGGTGCTTGTCCAAAGACATTTCCATGGTCATGTGGTCAGCATGACATCACGTGATTAATCCACCATAGCTATTTACACCCAAGTTGTACTGATCCAATGTTTCAAAGAAATGATTAATATTGTTACTGCTTCAACAGAGCCAGTGTCATGGAATCATAGAAGTCTCGATTATATCTGACATGCAGTCTTTCTGTAGAAATCATGTAGGTTAACAATGTCTTTGTGTTCCAAGGAGAGTTCAGTTGCTCTATTAAATCAATATGGGGTTAGTTGTAAAACTCAATTCTCACAAATAGTTCCAGGCAGATAGAATAGAATAGAATAACAGAGTGGGAAGGGACTTTGGAGATCTTCTAGTCCAACCCCTTGTTCAGGCAGGAAATCCTATGCCTTTTCAGACAAATGCTTGTTCAATTTCTTCTTAAAAACTTCCAGTGTTGGAGCATTCACAGCTTCTGGAGGCAAGTTGTTCCACTGATTAATTGTTCTAACTGTCAGGAAATTTCTTTTTAGTTCTAGGTTGCTTTTCTCCTTGATTAGTTTCCATCCATTGCTTCTTGTCCTTCCTCAGGTGCTTGACTCCCTCTTCTTTGTGGCAACCCCTGAGATATTGGAACAATGATATCATGTCACCCCTATTCATTTTCATTAAACTAGACCAGGGGTGTCAAACTCGCCACGTCATGTGACATGTCATGACATATTGCGACTTTTCCCCCATTGCCGGAGCTGGGGTGGGTGTGTTTTCCGTATGATGCATCTGGCCCATGGGCCAGCATTTTGACACCCCTGAACTAGACATACCCAATTCCAGCAACTGTTCTTTATATGTTTTGGCCTCCAGTCCCGTAATCATCTTTGCTGTTCTTCTCTGCACCTTTCTAGAGTCTCAACATCGTTTTTACATTGTGATGAGCAAAACTGGATGCAGTATTCCAAATGTGGCCTTACCAGGGCATTATAAAGTAGTATCAACACTTCATGTGATCTTGATTCTATCCCTCTGTTAATGCAGTCTAGAACTGTTGGCTTTTGTGGCAGCTGCAGCATACTGCTGGCTCATATTCAAGTGATTGTCCTCTATGAGTCCAATATCTCTCTCACAGTTACTACTGTTGAGCAAGGTACCACCTATACTGTACTTGTGCATTTGGTTTCTTTTGTCTAAATGTAGAACTTTAGTTTTTTCACCACTGAATTTCATTTTGTTAGATAGTGCCCAATCTTCAAGTCT